GTGGAAATTCAGACCTGTGTCCCAGTCCTTCGGGACATCCGGTAAAATTGGAACGTTGCAGAGGAGCTAGCACGGCCCCTGCACAAGGCTAGTGCGTATAAAAAGAGAGGTCGCTCTCTCTCCGCTGCTAGTGATGAGTGTCGTCTGTGAGGGGGGGGAGACAGCGCAGGCTAGTGAGGGGGTGGCAGTATAGGAAGGAGGAGAGATGGTGCAAGAGAGCTCAGCGCCCCGGGAGGAAGGGCAGCAGCAGAAACAGCGGGAAAAGAGTGAAATGAACCTGGCCACAGCTCCGCACCAGGTACAGTCGAAGGAGGAGGGAGAAAATAACGTCAAAGCTATGGCTGAGGAGAGAGGCTACGACATGCTCGTCTCTTAGCAGAACTTGGCGGGAGAGAATGCTAACCTGGGGTTTCGAGGCTGGGAGAACCAAGTGGTGTGGTCAGACTAAGGCAAGGATTAATAAAATAGGAGGAAGAAAGGGAAAAAAAAAAAAAACAGTGCGCGGGAGTGACGGGATGTTGGATATGGCCGCCTTGAAAAAGGCAGATCTCGCCCGTTTCTCAACGGAAACAGGCGAGTGAAGATTCTTTCTCAATGTTCTTGGCCATGGCGAGTTTGAATGGTGGAGTCAGATTCCGAAGTAAGTGGCTGGTTTGTGAGCTACAGGGGTGAGGGGTTGCGCGGGGGGGCGGGGGGGGCAGATTGGGAGCGCGGCATGCTTTGGCCATCTTCAAGTAAAAGCTCGCTTCTCCTTGTGGCTTTTCGAGCTCCTCGTGCCTGTCGCGCCCGCTGTAGCCAACCAGCRCAGTCATGTTCACAACGATGGCCAAAGGGCAGTTGTAATCACCTACCTTGCTGAAGTCGCCTTCGCCCAGGGGCATAGTTGCCTCCATCTCCGAGCTACCTCTGCTCCGTCCAATGGGCCCAGCGCGCTGTCGAGCATGACCTCCTACGTTGGGAGTGGGTTAGGAGAAAACAAGGGGGCACTGAAGAGAACCGGGGTGTAAGAAGAGGGGGAGTAAGAGGTGGCCATGTTTACCTGGTAACTACGCCGAATTCCCCTGCTCACTACTTGGTGGCTGTGGTGAAAAAGTAAATGAACCTGGCCGAGGTTACGGGCCAGGTGTGTTGAAGGGCTGGCCGATACGTGTACCAGCAAGTGAGCTGCAGAGGGGGAAGGTGGTGACGGTCGTGGTTCATCATCATCACGGCAGTCGTCACGGGCGTCTTCGACCGCCCCTTGGCTTGGCAGGCTGGCGGTGGCCCTCTTGGCTTGGCAGGCTGGCGGTGGCCCTCGGCTCCATATGCGGGCACATGCAGAGAGAGAGGGGAGTGAGAGCGCCCACCTGGTTAAGTGGGGCCTGGCGGGTAGCTCTGTGCAACCCGGCCACTACGATGCTGCCCATGCAGGGGTGGAAGGGGCGTGAGGCAGATACAAAAAACAACAACTCTCCAGTTGGTGGCGCCTGATCGAGAGACGGCAGATTAGAGAGCGAGTTCTATTATAGATTTTTTTTGTTGAGTACAGCTGCTGTGTACGCTCGTCACCGGATTCAAGGGGCATTACTCATGGTACGTGTCATCCTGACCCCTCGACTTGGAGAGGTTGCGGCAGCAGCAGCTGCCACTACCGGGTGCCGTTGTCGTTCTTAGGACGGTACAGCAGGGTGATGAGGGTTCGGACTTTGCCATAAGACTGCTGAACTCGAGGATTGCTGTTGCTGTTCGACTGCGGATGCTGCTACTGCGCGAAACTATGGTGAGCGCTGTCCATCGCCAGGCTGGTTGTGTTTAACTGGGGACTGGTTGGAATACGGTGCTGTGGGTGGCTGGGCACCGCCGCTGCTGTATACCCAGCGTTCTAATGGAAAATTGATCTTCACTTCTGGTGCCCCTGGTGGATGGCGATCGCGTGGTTGCCCGTGCTTACAGCCAAAGTTTGGGTTCTGGTTGCTGCTGCACGGGCCCAGGATGATGATGCTCAGAAAGAAGATCATCGACATGGGTTTGGATTGATGCAGGGCCTTTCACTATTGGGTGTAAAGTGAGCTGTGTTTCATATGGCTGATCTTGACTGCTATGTTCCAGGGCTGAAGAGACTGTGGCAGAAGTGTTAGGCTTGAGGTACATGGCGTCAGACCGCTGTGTGTTCCTACGATATTACTTCTGTGTATTCACTACTCTTTTGATATATGTGGTTGAACGGCCGCCTGTCAAGGCCAAGGCCGAACTCAACAGGGATTCTGATAGATTGAGGGCTCCCCAAGCTCATCAATAAGGCACAGCATAGCATATGCCTCTGTGACTCAGTTTTTGGTTCTCTGGCCATCCTGTGTACCTCGAACAAGTGGTCTGCCCTTGCATGGACCATTGTAGCTGCTGACGAGAGTAAGTGTACATACCATGGTCGTAGCGATGGTCTGCATGGCCTACAACCTCAGTATGCTTCAATAGCTACTATTGATATAGGAGGGTGGATTCGTCTATCAGAGGGGTTGATGGTCTGCATGGCCTACAACCTCAGTATGCTTCAATAGCTACTATTGATATAGGAGGGTGGATTCGTCTATCAGAGGGGTTGTGTACTCAC